ATGCAGGTTTCCTCACGATGTTTTCCTTCACCGCGGAGCACGTGATAAATCAGCACTTACAGTTAAAAACTTCATTGGTGCCGGCACCAGGGATCGAACTCAGGTTGCTCGGGTATATTGAATTAAAGGCGAGCGCCCGGACACTGAGCTATCACGGCTGAGTATACATGTATCTTATCCTTTAAACTAGCATCTAGGCAAACGATCTAGCTAGGTTTCATTTTTAGAAAATTTCCTTTTGTCCCTGTTTTCAGGGAATGAAAAATATCATTCGAATATGACAGTAAATTTCGCCGCAAAATAAAATGTTATAATAGCTCGGTAATCGGGCGGCCCAAAACGCACCGCAAGACGGCCGCGGGTATCACGATCATTTACACACTTAGTTTTTTTACTTTTTTTTTTTCTATACCAGATTTTCTTTATTTTTTTTTTTTTTTTTATTTCCAAAATACATGATTTACCAAAAAAAAACCGAGCAAAGCTCTGTCCTCCAGGTACTTACAAATTATGCATGTAGTATTGCCCGCAAAGAGAGTTTAATATTATGTAAGATTTACGTGTATAAAAGTATTTTATTCTAGCAGTTTTCCCATTTTATAACATTTTTTTACCATGGGAAGGCCACGCAATAACTACTGCTGCTGGACGAATCGACAAGGACGTCCAAGGAAGTACCATGGCTAAACAGAAAACCACAGTGAATTAGAAGTAGTACAGTTTAGTGTTATGACTGGTCAGTAATAGAGGCCCTCTTTTTTATTAGTTGTACAAAAATTCGCTTAAACATAAACATTTCGCATTAACAACCTGACAGGTGTTATAGACGGTCATAGGCGGTTGTAATCATGTGTCATTAGGTGATCACTTCGCAACTTTTCACATAAATAAATATATTAAATTAAGCAGTATAGACAATTTTAAAGCGAAACGTGCCGCTAGTATTTAAATCAATCCTTGATTGCCTTTAACACATTTGACCTTGTCCTCGAACATCAACATCACGTTCATAACATAGTTGAATATGTTTTTTTTTTTATATTTTACGGATATATATATTTAGTTCCGGAATAAATTTATAAAAAGGATGATACGTACTTACTAATCGAGTGCTTTTCGTGTACTTACGGTCTACATCTTTTACGTAACTTTTGGCGGTTAAAGTAGATAGTATGACGGTTAAAGTAGGTAGCGGTTAAGTAAGATAAAGTTGCTATACGTTTAAATGCTCCTCCCTCAATCATGATATGATAATGTATAAAAATTGGACAATATTTTTGTATCTTATGAAAAACACGTGAACTGAAGTGTTAGTAAATTTCCGACAGCATTTTGTGCACAAATATAAGTGAATCGACATAACCATAAAATTTAACATAAAAGACTTATGCTGCGAAAATGCGATTTATGCGTATATTTATGTATTTACTCATTCAGCGTGTCAGTTTTAACAGAATATTACAAAAACATATTAAGCCTGTTATAAGCGGAATTTGTAAATTTAAAGTGGTTTCACATATAAATTAGAACTCAACCCAAAACTTATAATATTAAATTTGTTTCGCTTTAACGCTTTAACGTTTCGACGCTTATGTCATTCCGATAATATTGTAGCAGAAAAAAACAATAATACATAATTACATACTCATATTCCTTATCCATTGCATACTCTTCTTTTTAGCAGTTTATATTAACCTTTGTTTGATTTACCTTGAAATCAATTTGTAACGGCTTAAATTACTTTAATACAATTTTCCAGTTGATCATTATGGGATGCGGAATTTGAATATACGAAGGAAAATATTGTGAACTTATATCTATCTACTATATGTAATAGTTTTGAATTTGTTAGATTTATGCTATGAAAATAAACAAAGCATAAAAGACGAATACCAATTCAACTGCAGAAACGTGCATTCATGATCTCACATTACACCGAAGAAGATGAGGTGACCAATCAAGATCAGATAGCTGATGTTAAGAATCAGTTTCTGAAAGCAAAGTACTTTACACAATACAAAATCACGTAATTTTAGAATAAAACTACGATTACAATTGAAAATTATTTCGCCAATATTCCCATCAGGATATATTATATACGAGTACATAATATTTTAGTCAGCTCTATTCCATATTTAATGGAATAGAGCTGACTAAAAAGTAATATCCTCTTTTAATCGAACTTTAATGAAACGAGATAGAGAAACTTACTTCGAATCCACTACCTCAATTCACGTTCTTCTAGGCTGCCATTGCCTAGCTAGGACTAAAGAAATATTTTTAAATGAATTTATCATAGAGTGAATAATAGCAAACAAGATGGAGGTTCTAAAATTATGACTCACAATTCGCACACCTCACATATAGCAAAAAACCAGTTATCATATACAGACTAGTGACGGAAAAATCAGTTATTTGAAGGCTGTTAGCGCACGTACAATATTATCTTGTGAGCATATCAAGATAAAAATTATGTTATTTAAAAGCTATAGTATTGTGTTAATAATTTGTGTACAACTTATATACATGAGTGCGGCGGAAACTGTTAATCTACGAGGTAATTATTCATTCTTAAATTAACTTTATCTTTAATATTTTTGAGTCGTCAAGTGATACTTTGACCTCCATGAGGGCAACGACACAGTCAAGTGTATCTTACATTATAATAGTTGAGATATAAACTGAACAAACATCATTATACTACATTATACTTTATATTTTTTAAATAAAAATATGAATTTACAAAAGTACGATTTCTATGTGCGTTATCTTAGATTTTGAATTCTGTCTTAATTCAATACGGGATATATTGAGATAATTAAGGAATTGAAATTAAATCAATAATTTTTTTTTTTCTATAACGTATGTCATCGAAAATGCAACGACATTTAAAACCATACTTTTGCACCGGCTCAAACTAGTAAGCGGTATAACTTGAACAAGTGGCAAAAAAATACCCAACCAATCGACAGTCCCTTTTAATAAAGCCACAGGTTAATATAATTAGTTTAATGAAGAAATAAGGGATACTTTTAAATATTTAAATTTTTTTAAGATTAATTTATTGATAATTTATGATTACTTATAATAAATAAAACTATTTTTTTATCAGAGAAGCGAACACCGCAAAACGATTGGTGGATTGATTCGCTTCTATCCCATAAACCAGACGATATTACGGGAAATCCCTTGCGTTGGAAAACAGAATCAAGAAGAACTTGGAATACATCGCCACCAGAAAAACCATTGATAAGAGATTTTTATCATACAATTGAACACCGTCAAACGAATGAAAATAATTATGCTATGCAAACTTATAATCCAACATACAATGAAAATCATCAAAGATCCCCTCATGAATGGAACCCTACACCGTATTCCTTATACGACAGAGGTCCACCACCGCCACCTCCTGATCATATGTGGAATCAATCGGAAAATAGCTGGAGACCCCCACCTCCACCACATGAAGGTAACATATATAGAAATGATGAATGGAAAACTTTTCTTTCGTTTCCACCGCATCCGCCCCCGCATTACCCACCTCCTTATTCCCATTCCGAAAACTCTATCTCATCACCACATTTTAACAGGATTTATCAATATACTTCATCTTCACAGATGGAAATTATGCACCTCCACCACATTTTTCACACTACAACGAAAGATCATCCCCTTATTATGATCAATTTCCCAGAGACAGCTCATTATCCCAGCAACCCATTGAAAATAAATGGTTTCCTCGACATCACCATCTACCACCACCGCCTCCACCACCTCCCCTTCCATCTCCCCCACCCCCATACGATAGATACCATTGGTTGTCCTCCCCATACCTTAAAGATTCTCAAATGTTTAATAGAAATACTCAGTACTCGACCATGCAAGTGCCAGAAAATGAAAATAACAAAGAACTTCTACAAAATGAAAACAAATCCAGTTTACACCCACAGCTGCCACGAACATCTGTTAAAAAGGAAAAATATGCCCTTCCTGACCGAGAAGGTCAACGCTTGTTCCTCTTAATTTCTTGTCTTGGATATGACAGAGAAAATATCAAAACGGATCAGGGTACCTCTGATGATTGTAAAAGTAATAAAAGCTTGGAAGGTATTACAGAATTTTTCAATATTCAACCACAACTAAACGACGACACAAATACAAGAGGCAATGAAGATAGTGTATATATACCTGCGATTGACATTCGCTCTGGATTTAATACAAATGACGACGAATTAACACCTTCAAAAGAATTTTCAGCAACAAATGAAAAATTAAGACATGAACAGCTTTCATTCATAAAAAACTTATTTAACAACGCTGAACCCACTGATAATCCACTTGTAATACCATTTTTTCAAGTAATGCCTGTTACTCCAATAGAATGATTTTAATGTCAAATTTAATAATATTTATACATAAACGAATAGTAAAATGTTATACGTTACATAATTATTTTATACTATTATTCCCTAATACACTAAACTAACTTTACGTAATTATTTTATATACTATAAATGTTCAGAGTATTCTGTGCAGAGGTTGTAAATTCTATTTTTGAAGGAATTTAAAATATTTTTCTATTATTTTATTGTATTTGGTTTTTAAATTTATCTTACATAACTTTTAATAATTTATAATCTAAATATATTCACTAATGTATGTAAATTTTAAAGATTCAGTGAAATAAAATATGTATTAAACAAAAAATGTTTCATGTTTATTTTAAAAAATGTTTCATGTTCATTCATGTTTATTTTGAAATTACTACGATGTCATCATATATTTAACTTTCAACCTTATTTTCTCCAATTTAATATTTTGTTAGATGCTCATTATAATAACGATTATAACAGAATCAATATATGGTATGTATGTACATAACATATATTGATTCAAATTCAAATTAAAAAATCTCATAAATAGTTTCCTATCTATTTCGTGGAGGAGTATACTATGCAGATATGAAGTCCTTACTCAATACACAGCAAAAAAAATTATCTTTTCTTTTCAGAGAGACGTTCACCACAAGGGCCTCCATTTATGAGACGGGGCCCTGGCCCACCACCGCGTCCTGGAACAAATTCATTCGATAACAGGGGACCTCCCTATGGCAGAGGACCACCATTCGAACAGCAACCTCCAGATCACCGGGGTCCGCCTGGTGAATATCAATATTGGATACCACCAGGTCATCGAAATCGTCCCAACAAGGGCAACCGCCAAGACGGGTATGATTTTCAAGAAATGTATCCCCATCAGGAAATAACAACCAACGTTAATCGTGATAAATTCCAAACTACTGAGAAAATTAAAAATGACGCTCACAAAATTAAGAAAGAAGAACAGTCAACCAAAAAGACAATAATTACTAGCACAGAAAGCAATACTGATACGAATACAGCAAAAGATAATGTAAAAATTACTTACGATGCAGGCCCAGCAGTTGCACTAGTAAATGGAAATTCAAAGCCAGGAACAAAAATTGTACCAGTAACTTTAATTTTTCAAGCTCAGCCAGTTACACCGGCAACTTAGGTGTTGCTAACAATTTATATCTATTATTATTGTATTTTTAAGTCAATGAAAATATATATGCGTGTAAAGTAGCACTGAAGAGTCTATTTATTTAATAATTAAAACAACTTTTAAAATGTAGGTTTACATCTTCCATCTGGTGTACGCTCGTATCCAGTTGCGCAAGAGCCTCTGAAATTTTCTCTTCCATCTTGTTCTGTCCCATTTGATTTTTTTTCACTTTTCTCTGAAGTCCCGGGGGATTGTGTACTTGTAACAGGGCTTGAAACAATATTTTTGTCTGCACCTTCTCCGGCTGGCTTAGATTCTTTTACAGCTTCATATTTATACTGTTGGTTCCTTTTGTTGTTTGACTGGAATACAACTTTTATATCATCTCCCAGCTTTTGAGCAGATTCTTGAATTTTCCCAAAAAGATCGACGACAACATCTCCATTAATTTGAGGGCTGAATATCATTATACCACCACAAATTAAGAGGTAGACTGACAGTTTCATCTTGCTTTAAACGTCTCTTTCTTCTCACGGTTCTATAGAAAATATTACTGTCACAATTAAGCTACTTTCGAGAATACGGATCGATAACTTTATGACCTAATGACCATTGGCATCTTCTGTCACTAGCGATAATTGTAGCGTTCCACGAATTGATAACGCCACAATGCGTTATTTAAAGGAAATCGTTTAAATAAAACATTGAATTAATGTTATCGTCAAGCTTTTTATCCCACTGTATTTTTAATCTGAAAGAAGCAGAGTATTTTGTAAACTTTCATTAAATCGTCTTTATATTAAATCGTTTGTGTGCAATTTAGTATTTCGAGACTTATAATTATTTGATTACTAGTGATTTATATTATTAGGTACACCACTAAATAAGAAAGCATTACCTAAACTATAAAATCATGACGAAATTTAAATTAGCGTTCTTTTCGATATCATAGCGTTTATTAAATATTCCATATATATTTTACTAAATAACTATTCGAAGAAAAGTTATTGTACATTAGTATAAAAACATAATTATACTGGATGTTAGGCTAAACAAAGTGCACTCACCATTAAAAACGTTCTCTACAATTACCTAAATGATCACGTCTTTGTCCATCAGGGCAATCTAGTTCCGGCACTCTTATGATCTGACTACTTTTCACATATTCAGTTGTGGTTGATGCTGCCATACGCAGTTTATCATGGAAATTGAACACAATCCCACATTGTCCCAACGAGAATATACAAATTATTATTAAAGCAATATATAGCACACACTTTACGCCCATTTTATCGAATGTTATAGAACAAACTGCGCGACAAATTCGTTAAATGTAAGTGCGGGCCCCAATCACCACGGTATTCTACACGCTCCGTAGATATCCTTCACGGCGCCGTCTGTACAGCTATTTGTGTTCATTGGCACATCAATCATTGAGGGCCCAGGTGTCACGTTTTTCCCATCACCTCGATTTATAACGTTCTTTGCTTGTTTATGAATTAGATAATCGATGAAATCCTTCACTGGATTACTATAAGCAACGGCGAAATCTTCTTTTGAAATCGGTGCAGATCTAACCAGTACGATATTAAAGTGTATGAAAAAATAAACTGCATACATTATTAACAAACGATTCATTTTTACATTTTTTGTAAACTCACGGTCCATAGAGCATCTTTCTTCAGAAACTCGATAGATTTTATATAAATTTAGACGTTTTTTTTATCGTCGCCTTCCAGCCAATCAAACATGCTATGAACGTTACAATCGCTCTACAAATGACCTATTTATAATATGTAAATCATATCGTACGTTAACCATATTTGTATCTTAACAGTGGATGAAAAACAAAATAAGATGAGTTCGCTTTATAAAACAGTAAAATAAACTGTTCGTGCTTTAGAAAAAAAAAACTTATATTAAAAATTAAGGATGAACAAATATAATAAGCTTACATACAAATTGTTAAATTAGGTACATTTTACGATGTATTCTATTTACCTATATTTTAAAAATTTAAATTTAAATTACCAACAGCGATGCGACGCATGAATGTTCACAAACGAAATATGAAATAAAATAATAGCAATCCTATACCAATATCCTGACTTATAATTTAACTGAATAGTTACATTCAAAGCGATTACAGTAAAATAATAATTATAATAAATGATTACTTATATATTAAGTCATGAGTTATTCAAATAAATATGGTATTTCATGCACGTGACGCTATTAAGACGCTTCTCGGAATTCCTGCTAGCTTAACATTAAAGGGATTCTTGTCGTGTATACATTATATATAACATCGACAAAAGGAACGCTATAGATAATATCCAAGCCAGTTTTATTGAATGAAAAAACATTAAAATAAGGGACGACATTATAACACTAGTGACATTATCTTCTTTCTTTGTTAAAAGGCTATTCTATTTTATTTTATTATTCTTTTTTTATCTGAGAAGTTGACAAGCAAGCTGTCGGTCCACCTGGTGTTAATTTATAACCGCCGCCCATAGACATTAGCAACACTCACCAGACGAAAAGTATAAGACATCCACTTCACCCCTGCCTTCTGTTAGGTCATGGTACTTCCCCTAACGGACCTGCCCATTCAAGCAACAGCGGAGACTGTTGCGTGGCCCTATAACAGATTCCAAAAACATTATTAAACAGGCTTTCATTTTACACATTTGTGAAAATAAAAATAAAGGCCAAAAAATTGAAATCCGTTCTGTTTAAGTAAAAGTAAAATCAGTTAATCACAAGAGAACTCAATAACGCTATCCATTAAGCAAATGTTGCTCATACCAAATGTTCAAAAATGACGTATAGTTTTTGCTTAAAAATTGTATTTAACTCAAAATAATATTTTCAAGTTATCATTATTACGGAGAATGCTCGAAATTCATCATTATAAAAACCTCGTTAGTGCCGTCCGCAATACACACTCGGTTCAGCGATTTTATTCGTTCGGGAGGAATATACCTAATTTGCGCAAGAACACTGACCAAATTCATAGTTGGTAAGAATGGTTGGGAATGGAATGGAAAGAAATCCATACATAATTTTCGAAAAGCTAGACAGGTATGTGCGTAGTTACTAATAAATTTCCATGGTGACATGTAGTCTAAGTACCGCTTGCTCGTTAACCACTTTCTTCAAGCTCATGAAGAGTATTTATGGATTTTATCCATAATTACTGATATTGAGACGACAGAAAATGTGTCAGACTAGTCTAAAAGGGGATTTCACAAAATTCGGAAACATATAAGTGCTTTGAAAGGGCTTGAAGAAAGAGTTCCAGCTTTTACACAATTTATTTTCTTGTTTCTTAAGTGACTTATATATAAATTTATTTTAGAGCTACAAAACATGGATTTTATATTCAACACAAAGTATTTAATAATTTATATCATCATCATGTTCAGCAAGATCATAGTTCTACAGTTAAACATAAGTGTTTGTCAAGGCGCGCCACTTATCTCGTATTATAATATACATTCTGCTCTCTATTCTCGGTGACCGCCTTTATTACATCATCAATCCATCATTTGGACAGAATATATTTATTCACATCTGTTTTATATACAGGGAGATTTTTGAGAAGTGCCCAAATTTACACAGGAGGTTCAGACTCGGTAGCATAATCGTTTATTGAAATAAAAAACAAAGTTAATTTTTCCAAAAAAAATGCCATTCTATTCCTTAAAAAACAGAACGTGTTGACAATGCGGTAGTCATTCATAAATACCAAAATGCACGAACTTGTGTGCGTGTTATTTATGAATGATCGCGCGTAAAATAAATGAGTTGCGTATAAATCACGCACTTTTTGAGATAAGTTCAAAATGAATGAAATTAATTACTTACGAGTGATTTCAAATATTTATCATATTTTGTATAACATTATTTATGTCTAGAATTTAATAAAAAATATGAATACACTTATAAAAGCCACCCTGTATACATAACAGTTTAAGGAACTCATTGAGAAATTGATTCACATTCTGCCAACAAGATGGCAATAACGTTGGTATGTAAGAAGCTTGAAGAGGCTCCATCGCCACCAAATCACACTTAGAACTAAATGGGTCAACAGAAATATCTATCTCTAATTGAATATATTTGCATGAATTTATTCAAATAATAATTCATATCTTTATTTTACATTAAATCTCATTAATGTAGCAACAAGGCATAAAGGTTCCTCACCCATTAAAAATCATTCTAAAATTTTAATAGCATCATTAAAATTCAATTTATGCTGAAATTATGCTCTGGCTCTGGTCATTACTTCATAGTTTTAACAACACATATCCTGCCTGTATAGATAAAATGAAGTAATACTTATAATTCTATGTTCATTATATCGTATATCCCCATTTGCGCTTATGCTTGCACTTTTTTCCCATTTATCATTTTATCCCCTTAATATATTTATTTAACATGAATTTTAATTATAGTTGCTAATATGGCAATAAGAACGATTTGCATTTTTGTTCTGTAAAGTTTTATTTGTATTTTTTACTTGTAACTTTTACTTCGTAAGTTTTACTTGTATTTAGTTACGCACATAGCGTAGCTACTTTAAAAGCAAGAAGCCCATAGGTGCCGAGATTCAAGCCGTGATTGTTGATAAGTAGAAAAAAGTAAAGACCCATCATATGTTCCATGGTTGGGAAAAGGGCAAAGGCCTCCTTTGCAAAAGGGTTTTGCATTTTTTTTTTCTTAAAGTTTTATTTGTATTTTTTTACTTGTAACTTTTACTTTGTAAGTTTTACTTGTATTTAAAGTTTTATTTAGTTACGCACATAGTGTAGCTAATTCAAAAGCACGAAGCCCATAGGTGCCAAGATTTAAGCCGTGATTTGTTTATAAGTAGAAAAAAGTAAAGACCCATCATATGTTCCATGGTTGGGAAAAAGGCAAAAGCCTCCTTTGCACAAAGGGTTTTAGGCCATAATCCACCACTCCATCCACTGCGGGTTGCCGGACTTCACTTATATTCGAATTTTTTTTTAAATTATTATTTCGAAAATATGCAGGTTTCTTAACGTTGTTTCCACTGCTGAGCACATGAAAATTCATCACTTAAAATTGCAATTAACAATTTCATTGATGCGGGCAGGGATGCGCGATGCATGAGTACAATGCAACCTGAGCGATCATCCGGACACTAGGCTACACTTACCCGCAAGTTATGTTCCAGGTCATTACTGACCAAAATAAATTAAAGAATAATATTGTTACAAGCTAGGGGTTCGGGATTGGAGTGAAACGCCGATCAAATTAAATGCTCACTTTATTAACGCAACAAACTTACATAGCGGCCCTCTCAATACCGCACTACTGTCACTTGTGTTCTGACCGTTCTTACGAACCCCTCTCGTTTTCACACCAATCTCCACGTACGCTTCTACTGGTGTAACGTTACGGCACCAATCCCCCGTGTACGTCTTCACACTTCGTCACTGTCCTCTACTGTTCACGCACTATTGACTTCACTTTTTCTTCCTCTTCTTTCTTTTTCGAGTTCCTTGTTTAACGCGCTCCGGGCTCTTTTTATAGTCGGAATGTCGATCTCATTTGCGGCTTAAACATTCTAGAAACGATTTTCATTTCGTTCTTCTTTTTTATAGACCACTCTGAAATCAGGGCCCGAATTTCGATCGTCTCTGTATACAAAGTTCAGGAAAAGAAACCTTCTTTCACTCTTCAGTAATAATTAAAAATAAAATCATATACGTCATTCCAAACTGTCAAGATGTATTGTTCATTTATCAACGTCAACCCCCTGATAGTCAATAACGTTTTATTATAAAGATGACTTATTTCCATAATACACGGCGTTTAAAAATTGTTCCCCTTTACATTATATTTAATAAGACATATATGTGACTGTGACAGATGATATAGCATTGGCTCCTACGTAAAGGGGCGAAACCGCCGCTTACGCCTTTTTCCAGTTATTAGCGCAATACGTTTATTTTACCCTATTCTATGAAAATAAAAAACATATTTTTTTCTTGTTAAATCCAAAATAAAATTTTAGGCAAATAGGCGTATGTTCGCAAATTAGTCGTGTATAAAGCCCCATGGAACGATCAGCCCATGTACGGTGTAGTAGAGTCATCGAGTCGGAGATGTGGCGAAGGGGCGGAGGTACCGCTTCAGTCGTTTTACTCAGTTTTTGGCGATTGTCTTTTATAAAAGCTATGCTCGTGACTTATTAATTTACGGCTTAGCTAGTTTATACGAAAATGATACCAAAAAAGGTGTGCAATTTACAAGAGCCCAAAAAGTTATAAATAAAATCATAAATAAACACAACAGCACTGATTTAAGCATCGAAGACGAGGCTCGCAACCAAAATAATGACACTGAATGTCCACGTAAAACATACTTATATAATTACTTTATAATAAATATATTAACATTATATTAGTGAGTTAAAAAATTTATTTCATTGGCACGAAATTTATGTTTATAACTATTAATTTACTGAAAACCTTGTAGAGAGGTGTAAAATATCATCTACCTTTTTACGTAGTTCGGTTTTCGTTGTAACATATGCGCCTTTTTCTAAACATTATATTTTTCGTAACTTATGAAAAATATTTTACAAATTTCATACTTAACGAATATTATTATGTGTCTGGCTTACTAAGATAACGCCCTCATTACTTAGTTCTTACTATTGACTTAATAACATATTTTAGACTATAACATATAAAGACATATATTAATACTGATTCTCGTATATGGGCGGAAGATCACAAAAGCCTTTTTACGTGGAATAATAAAAGATGAATAAAAGAAAATGCACAATGTAAAAAGTCAAAAGAGCAAAATCTCGAAGTATATTTAAATTACACAAAAATTAGTCTCAGCGTGACAAATAACACGATATGTTAATACTTATTGCAAAATTTCAAAAACAATGCTTCAGTAGTTAACAAGATTTGACCCAAAATACCTTTCTGAATACTTTAAACTGCGCTCCTGTAAAACATTTATTCACTTAGGCCAGTTTACTTTGGAGCGATCGATAGAGCGTATGATACAGAACGAGATAGCAAACTAATTACACTAATTGACGTAATTTCAGCACCGCAGTTTCGGTGCACTAGTCATATCTACCTCGTAACAATATAATGCAGCAATAACTATAATGTATATTTTACTTCATTTATATTATTATACACTATGTACTTCTAAGTATTTATATTGGATTTTACATCCCGGCCAGACGAGTAATTTACTGAAATGCCACTGTTATATTAAACATAGAATAATAACTCGGAAAAGACTTTAAAAATAACTCTTTCACTTTAATAGTTTTCTCCGAGTAATCTTAATGTCATAATATCGCATACTCAGCGGTGACGGAAAACATCGTGGGGAAACCTGCATATTTCCTAAATAATAACAAAAGATTTAGAAGATATGTGCAGTCCGCCAATTGGCAGTGGAGTCGCGTGGACTATGCCCTAAAGCCCTATGTACATAGGGGGCAGCTGGCCAACAGTGGGCCATATATGTTACATATAGGCTGCTACAATGTTTAATTTTATAAATAAATGATTAAATTAAGTTCTTTTTTTATGTTGGCATCAGTCGGTACGGTAACATGTATGTTACACACATCAGCATAACAATATACCACACTATTACTTTATAAAATGCGAGACAATCAGCACAAACTGTGGGAGCAACATGACCTTGTCTCCCTCTCCGTAAAAACGCCAAAAACATGTGTGAGCTGGAAAGGCATTTCATTATTAAAATACCTCTCCCCTAGGGCGACAATATTTCAATTACATGTTGTGACAACATTTGTAATTAAAACCATTCAAAGCATGCCAACGCAAAAATAATAAAAATATTAGAGGCGCGAGATTTGCGTTTATTTTAAATATTTTTATCATCATTTTCTATAAGGTTTGAACAGTGATCAGATGTAATGATTACAAAAAAACATCAAATTTTTAACAGATATGAGTCTTCAAAATCATTATCTTTTTTAATAAGAATTCTAACATTATTTCCTTGACTCTAATATTTTAACTATTACTGAACTTGAATATTAACATCTATTGTAACGACAAGTAGCACTAGTGGTTATATCACCAAGCGGGAGCGCAGCCGAAATGCCAGTGACCGCTGCTCCAAGTGACCATATTAGGGTTGATGAGGATTCCTCTTCCTCTTCCTCATCCGTTTCCACAAAATAAATTTTACAAAATCCTCCTCCTCTTCCTCTTATTAAGAGGAATTTTTAGTGGAAGTGACAAATAATCTACCGGTTTATTATTATAATCAGAACAGCTTCTTTAAATAGTTTTTTTTTTGTTTGCTGCATTTTGTGTCTAGATAATATTTCATTTATAAGTTTTTTCTAATAGTAATTTTTAAGTTCAATGAAGCAATATTTTAAATAATAATGGTTTTTATAAAAAAAAACAACTAAATGACTTTTGAAATTACGTAGGTAACCGCAGAATGTCAAGAACTGACCTTCTTCTTCCACGCCACTCCTGCGGCAGCGCGTGATGAAAACAGAATTTTGGATTCTATGTTAGTTGATATGCTAAATTCAGCACCTAACAGTGACGATGAAATTAGTGAATCATGCTCATCAATAAACAGACATGTTTTAGTTAAGTCACTGTTAGAAACCAAAAAGAATATATTTATATTGTTGTTACTTATTTCTCCTCCTCTTCCTCTTCCTCATAGCAGATCCTCATCCTCATCCACATACTCAAATTTTTGTCTAAAAAAATCCTCATCCTCATCCTCTTCCTTATAACTACATCCTCATCAATCCTAGACCATATGTCCATTCGCTCGAGTAGATAACGTCATATCCGGTATACAGTGTTGCCAGCGACAACATTTTTTACTGTGCTTCTTATACATATTTCCTTATTCTCTAAAATATGTCACCTATACTTAATATACCGAGATGACAAATGTGAAGTAAATTGTCATATTAAACATTAATTTACTGGGTTACTAAATACCTACATGTATAGTAACCCAGGAGTATCATAGTAAACAAAAAAATGTAAACGCACGCGTGTTATAAAATTAAATGAATCCGGATCGAGATCTGCATCGGCAACAATTTATGGATTAATTAACTCGTATGAAGGCTTTTCACATGCACAACAGAATCGGTTCAGGTTTTAATTTTATGTTTATTAAAATCTTTTAAGCGTGCTGTTAAATATTTTAATATACGTAACATTCAAGTAAAACATTTTTCATTTGTACTTTTTACATAACCTGTAAAATTTGAAACTTGTGCTTATATCGTTGGTTTGTTTGCCTGTAGTTTGTAGTCCTTAATTTCCCTTTGACGCACGATTCGAAGTTAGCTTAGCCCTTGAAGTGCTTGCCTTTTTTGTGCTGAAATGCAATAAATAAACATAGTAATATTCCTCTCTGAAACCAATCCTTAAATATGTGATGAAATGTCTCTGTGTCGTGTCACGTTGTAGTATTTTTGTTAAAATGTTTTTTAAAGTTTAAAAAGAGTAAGAAATCGTACCCAACCTAATCTTTAACGTTTTAAAATCGCATTCGAACTGTCTAAAATTAATAATGATATGAATAAAAAAATGAAGTTAAGAAAACGGCGCCTTTGCTTGACCCAGACTTGTCGTGTAATCTATGCTGTCGATCTAAGGTTAATGCACACATTTGTAGTCGATGAGAAAAAGTTAAGTTAGCAAATAATTTAATGCTACTAGGCCTAGAACGCACCACTGAAATAGGTTGAAGCCATCAGGGGCACTTCCACGCGTAGTGTAAAATATTACACGCTGGTAATGAAAATATCATTCAACGTCACTATGCAAGTTAAGTTATCAGTTGATAAAGCTCCATTTAAATCCTTCTGCACTTAAGCACAAGTCCTCAGCCGTATTCGGCTGGACTCATAGACGTCAACTAGTACAAAAATCATGTCTGTCTCTCCGTCTGTTTGTCACCAGGCTGTATCTCATGAACCGTGTTTAAGTTATATAGCTGAATATAATATAGTTAAGAAGCTGAATTTTCATAGATGTATTTCTGCTGCCGCTACAACAACAAATACTAAAACAGTGCTCCAACACATCGCAACGTATCTTAATCTTACAATATCTTTATCAGAACTCACGTGATGTGACGACTTGTTGCTGTCACAATTGTTACATTTTCCATCATTTTTGTCTTCCTCTGAAGACGAGGAAGAGCTCGAGGACGACGAAGACGAAGAGGAATCATTGCTTCTACCGTTGCTGCGACGCTGTAAATATGGTCAAGATAACAACGAATATATTCATAACAATACACTGCTTAGAAATAATTATACCGAAACACAACAATATCTTACGAAACAATTAATTAAAAAAATTAAATTAAAAATAATTTGTAGGGTAATTTTCATTATTATATAATACTTTGTCAACTGCAACGATTTAACTAAAAATTGGTTATATGTTATTCATTCGGACTTTATACATGTCCATCGTGCAATATTATGCAAATAAATGTAAATTTTGATTCGGGATATTTTCTCGCTGCCCCTTCTGTATCTATTAAAGTGGAAAAAAATAACGCGGCAAAAGTTAGGGAACAGTTTCATCATTATTGCTCATTAGAGCCGCAATTGAAGCTCGCTTGAAGAAACCCGCCGTAACGCGAACATTCTCCAAACAAATTGGAGTGTTTTGCTGCGTACACTACAGCCAGCCCTGCGGGTAGGTTATATATAATTTGTGCAAACTTTTGGTAATTAAAGCTGCGTATATTGGGAACTAAATGTGAGTTTTGCGTATGCTATAAAAATACAGTTTCTATTCACTTCTACTCTAGCGTTAATAGCCATCTTAGTAGTAAATATTATGATGAGTTATTTAGAAATTATGTATACCTAATAATGAAAAAGTGTAAAAAGAATAATAATTTACTCAATTAAGTGAAAAAAATGTTTAAAAATAAATTCGAAACTCATATATAGTATAAGAAAAATACTATATTATAATTTAAAAGGCGAAGAAATAACTTTGTGACCGTTTTTATGCAAACGCACAAAAAGTGACAGATAAAAATGAAATGGAAAAGAAGTACAGAATACTAGAATTTATAAATAATGTATGTAATATTTATTTACTTCCACACTTTAAACTTATAATAGTTCGTCATAAAGAGTACATACTATCGCGAAAGAATTGTAATGTTCCAGATCTCCAAACTACTGAGTTTCGGTGAATTGGAATCGATTTTATCGATTTGATCGAAATTATATCTTCAACCACTGCTCGAACATTAATATCTATCATTAGATGGTACTTTACAACTATCGCCAATAGATAGAGACCACAATCACAACGAGATTGCACTTGCGTTGCAAGTACTTCAGGTGGTCGGCATCTCACCTGGACTATAAATCGATCTTTTGTCAGGCCGTCGTTAATACTTGGACGAGGATTCAACTAATACTTTATTCGTGCCCAAATACACTATACAATGTCTATTAAGCATTAAAACTATAAGTTATTTAGATTTTAAAATGTACCCAGTTCCAAGTGCAGTCTTTCAATTTATAAATAAAACATATTGTAATTAATGAAGCAAACCAATGTCATAATATCAACATACTAAAAAATATTCAGTTTATTTTATTTATGAGTAACGATGGCTTTTAAATGTTGCAACATTTATTCACTCGTTTTTAAATAAAATTAATATTGTATAGACAATGCCAAGCATATTGCTAAAATGCTACAACGACAAAGTAGATTAGATGTCGAGATAAATTAATTATTTTAGTGACTAGAGCGTCTGGACGCGTAATCAATTGCATGTTCGAACCCTGGCAAGAACGAATCATTTTGAGACAGTTTGACATGTGTTTTTTCACATGTTCAGATTTAACTATCATTATTAGCGCAGAGACTACCACTAGAAAATTTCTAATTTACAACATTAATCTTTATACATATAATTCTTCTGTACGTGTGTATGTCACTGAACTCCTTCTAAACGGCTAGACCGATTTTAATGAAATTTTTTGTGTGCGTTCAGGTGGATTTGAAAATGGTTCAGATTCACAAATTTATTCAAAAAAATTTGAAATTTTCATATTTAAGACGTGTGTACAGGACAACGTCTGTCCGCTCCGCTAGTATTATTATAAAAATGAAAAATAAAAATAACGTAGGTATTCAAGCATTTTCCTTAATTTTAGATGCAATTCTATTTTTAATATTTAAAACAAGTGCTATCCTACATTTTGTTTTCCTACCCGATTTTACTAAGTCAATTAACGGTATAACACATAAGTTGTAATGAACATAGTTTCAACAATGAAGATGGAACACAATTGATTGGATTTAAGGTATTGTCTGTTTCTGTAGTAGTTTAATGCATTGCTGAGATATACGTACATTTGAGTAATTAATATAACTGAAATACTATTATAATAGGTAATATAAAGAAAGAGTTCGAGATTAAATTTAGTAGCTGTTATTATGAGGCTCTAAATATATTTTAATCAAATACACCGTATTCCGTTATTCTTAACTTATGGGATCAGTACATGGTTTGCCACAGTTTGTACAGTCGTGTATGCGTTGCCACCTTAAGATAAAGTGGGCCCGCTTACCTCACTCACCAGACTAAATGTAAAAGTGTAACATTTATACTTTACGCCGTCTTCTGTGAGGTCGTGGTACTTACCCGGACTGACCTGCCCATACATGCAACAGTGAACACTGTTACGTGGTCCTACCATAGGTTGAAATGTGTTTTAAATATACTTACACATTTATCATCATCTTCTTCTGAAGATGAGGATGACGATGATGACGAAGATGATGAATCATCGCATTTCACTTTCTTCCGATCATTGCACTGAAATAATAAGAATAAATATATAAGAATTACAGATAAGTGGGTTGGCGCCAAAACGAAACATTCGTCAGCCGTAGACTGTACTCTAGGCTCGAAAAATATTACTCTTTTCGGCAGGTGGGTAACTATTTCAAGATATAATTTATTTTTTGTCAACGTCTGAGCATTTTTCCAAGATTTTCACTTATAAGTTATTACTATCGACCCGCCCCGGCTTTGCACGGGTGCAAAGTATTATTCATATATACCTTCCTCTTGAATCAGTCTATCAAGTAAAGAAAACCGCATCAAGATCCGTTCCAAAGTTTTAAAGATCTAAGCATATAGAGGGACAGACAGACAGCGGGACAACTTTATTTTATACTAAGTATTTAGTTATTAACACCATACTAAAATTTTTATTAAAATTTATAAATTTAAACTTAATGCATTTATTTCACCAAACAAAATTACAATACTTCGTTCATTTTTAACTACAATATTACCTGACAGTTCTTCATCAAGTCCAAGTTTTGTTTCTAACAAACAAGAAAGAGTAATTTAACGTATAAAGATCCAACAGAATCCTGAGGAAACCTGTATATTTTAGAAATAATAACAAAAAAATATTTTGAAAATATATGAATTATGGCTGCGTGCTGAACCTATTCCCTGTGCCTTGATACAGAAGAGGTTTTGCCCAGCAATGAGGTATTTACAGACTGTAACTTCAATTTACAACTTTTTTCAATATACTACTTTTCTTTAAAACAAGTGTAAGTCATAATTAATATGTTTTTAACTACATTGTCCCTGAATTCTTCTCCTGCTGTTGCCGAGACATTACTTAAGGTAAATGTAAGTGCTTGCACCACAATCTTGAAATTCCAGACTGTAAATTCAAAAGATATTGTGAAAATGTTTAACAGTATTGAACTTAAGAAAACGGCAGATATATGGGGGATGTCCGTTGAAGTGACTGCTTCAATAATAGATGTAATTGCACCTCATTTGACTATAATATGTAAAGTCATACCTTTATTTAAATCCGGTAGTTCTTCTGACCCCACTAACTTTAAACTTATTTCTATTCTACTGACTCTTAGTAAAATTTTCGAAAAAATTATTCTTGATCAGCTGTTAAGACATTTTAATTTAAACAAATTATTACACAAAAATCAGTTTTGCAAGGTTTTAGAAGGGGTCGTTCTACAACCGATGCTTGTGTAGAACTGATTAAGCGTATATTTGCGGCTTGGGAAAATTCACAGGATGCTCTGGGTGTTTTTTGTGATCTTTCCAAGGCTTTTGATTGCGTCAATCATGAAACACTTATCAGGAAATTACGCCATTATGGCATTAAAAATAACGCGCTTGACTTAATTAAGTCATATTTAAGTAAAAGAATTCAGAAAGTTGTAATTAATGGTGCCAGTTCTTCTGGGTCGATGATATCAATGGGCGTTCCGCAAGGATCGATTCTCGGCCCATTCCTTTTTCTCGTTTATATTAATGATTTACTCTACTTAGTAGGAAAAAAACATGACATAGTGTTGTTTGCCGATGACACTTCATTAATCTTTAAAATTAAGCGGCGTATTGTAACACTTGACGAGGTAAATCATGCTATGTCAGAAATAGTTCATTGGTTTAGTGCTAATAATTTACTGTTAAATGGCAATAAAACTAAATGTATAAATTTTTCGACACCTAATGTTAAATACTTGGGTGGTGCCAATGTACTTATAACTCTTGATTCAAAGCTTCAATGGGGCCCCCATATATACAAACTTGCTAGCAGACTAAGTTCTACAGCATATGCTGTAAGAAAATAAGATGTCTGACTGATGTAAATACAGCTAGAATCGTTTATTTTAGTTATTTCCATAGCATAATGTCATACGGTATTTTGTCATGTCATCGGTATGCAGCCGATGTTGAAACAATATTTATTTTGCAAAAAAAGGGCCATAAGAGCAATTTACAATCTTAATTTGAATGCATCTCTGAGAGAGAAATTTAAAGAAATAAATATTTTAACCTTGGCCTCTTAATATATATATGAAAATATAATGTATGTACATAGAAACGTAGATAATTTTAATAAGAATTTACTGATGTACATAATGTTAACACTAGGAACAAACACAAGCTTGTAACGCCAGTTACTAGACTCCATAGAGTCAGTAACTCGTTCATGGGACGGTGTATACGCTTCTACAACAAAATCCCAGTTAATGTCCAAAGCCTATCTATTAACAGGTTTAAGAAATTTATTAAAGAAAAACTTTTTAAAAAGGGTTATTATAATATAAATAATTACATTAACGATAATAACCCCTGGGAATGAGATGATCGCTCCTAAGCTGTTGAAACGGTGGTAGATTTAAAAAATGACTATCGATAAATGAAATGTACATTTCTTATATCGATGAATAAATGATTTGAATTTATGTCACTGAACAAACCAAAAGTGCCCTCACTCTCTTGCATGCGTACACATAACATAAATCACAAATATACACAGATATGTACAGACACAGACACAGATAGCAGCAGGCATTTTTTCAGTTAACTTAAACATATTTGATTCTTGGTATTAAAATCCAAACCCGCCTGCTTCAATCTGCTTTCCTACCCAACTTGCTAAAATAGTCAACTTGTACTAAAATTGGTATATAACTTAGACAGGGAAGACTATCTATTATGAGTAAGACCTAGATTATTATTATTAGTTATAGCTCTTGAAAACTAGATTATTGCATTCACCTTTGCTCTGTTATAAATAAGCCGAATCTCTGATAACCCATTATTACTTTTAAGTATGCCAGGGACTACTTGGCTCCTGATAAATCGAAGCAATAAATTTTGTTATGTATTTATTACCACAAGATATCTTATTATATTTTCGCTAAACTAATTAAATTTATCTAGTTACGGACATTAAATTTTGGTGTTTATAATACTTACCTCACTGCTGTCGTCTTCTTTAGTATCACATTGGGAATGATGGCTTTTCTTCCTACAATTAAATTATAAAATTGACAATAATTATTAAACAAAACATTTTCAATCAAAATAAGCTTAATCAATAGCGTACGGACGTCGTATATATATATACTATATATATATATATATATATATACTATATATATATATATATATATACTATATATATATATATATATATATATATATATATACTATGTTAGAAGACATAATTACTGTAACCAACAAAAATAATAAGAGTGAGCATTGGAACACATCGGAAACGCAAGGTACCTATGGGAAGTATCTTAGATGTGAATCTGTAATTATAACATCTCTACGTTAAATTAACTACAATGATTTAAGTTTGAATAATTTATCTTGTAGGAAAACAACTTAGAACTTAGCGTGATTTTATGAATTTAACTTTGCATAGAAAAGTTGCTCATAGTCTTTAAAAGACTGATATAGACTATAGACTATGAAAACAAAAACAGAAAGAACTATGAAGATACTACTTTTACAATAATCTTTTTGATTTATGCTTATGATTCCACGCTTCGCCGATTAGTTATAACCAGACAAATATTACTACTATATACACAATGTCATAACTACCACTGTATTGACGATGACTATAAATCTTATTTACCTTCTTTGACCTAGTAACCTAGTAAAGGATTGGAAAAATTATTGCATAGGGCTATTAAATGATATAGATCGTGTTATACTTTTCAGAGAATCATGCAGGAAATAGTGATGAAAATGTACAGCGCCAAGCTTCATCGAGGGATAAAAAGGAAGTTCAATCTGCTCCACGTCTCGTAGAACATACAAAGAACTAGCTGCTTTACGATGATCGGATCTCAGAACAGTCAGTTGCAGACACGAATAACCGAGAACGTGGAATTTCAAATAAAATGACCGGAAAATGTTTAAAGAAATAATGGATCCGTTTATAACGATGCAGCATTTAATTATGTACCCCAGGTTGATTATAAAAAAATGTGATTTATTATTCGTGCCGTGGACTTTAGAACCTTAAACTAGAAAGATAAAATCAAAGGTCAGGTTGTTCAAATGAAAAATTGTCCCACCCGTACAAGTCGTGATATTTCATAGAATTAGTAAATTCTTTCCAGCTAGACAGCAAGTAAATTCTCACAACGAAATTTTATAGGTGGCAAAGAAATTGAAGTAATCTCTCGTTGTCAAATTATTCAGTGATTCGAAAAAGACTTTTTTCACAGTATTTTTCTCGTACATTTCAAAGTATGTTATTCTATCAAGATATTCCGAAAATGCACTTGAGACCGCAATAGAGAACACGAGTATATAATAAGACAGTATTAAGCGATGATCTGAATTGGTATGGAATCGTTAAATAGTCACAGCATAAATTGAATGCCTTGGTGATAGCTACGATTAATGTGATACAGTTTTCACGTTTATAACGAAACCTACAAACATTGAAAACAAGATAATAGCAAAAGTGCGAAGAACTGGAATAAATTTTGAAATAAGGTGGCCTCAACGATTAGACAAAAATTATTTAAATGCTGAAAATAACTCTGAAATTTCTATGAAATTGTTAAGTATGACAGCTTTATAATGGCAAGTAATCGAAGTGATTTTTTTACACTGGAAGAATAAAAGAACAAACAACAAGACATCCTGTAGAAACGGTAACGTTTACGTATATAATATATAATAAAATATCTTTATTCACATAGACGCTTGCGCGTTCGTATGAAACGTTAAAATTTTACAAGAATTTAACACGTTCGTAAGTTACCACCGGTATGAATACACGAAACGGTTGTTGTTGCCCTTGCACCCTTCAGGGTGGTTTCTACATGCCCAGTATACTCTCTTAGAGTATGTACTGCGCTTTACATGCAATTTACATACAAAACTCTCATCAAATCGTGCATAGGAATCATCAGCCAAATCTAGCGTTTTTCGGGGTATATTGCTATGATAATAATCACGTGACATGAATTTTGCAATATATATGGGTATATTATATGGAAATAGTAAATTTAATGACCGATTCCTTCCGCTTATCTGAACTAGCAGCTCATAGAGGCAAACTTGCAAATGAAATCAAAGCCTGCCATCATCAAGTGTATGAGTAAACATTAAGTAGTTTCTATGACATTGATACGGGAAGTTATGTGGTTGTTAAAAAATATTTACCGGCGGTTAGTAATGACAATTTTGCTTTCTAACGGAGGAAATTTACTACGCTGTTTCCGAAGACAAGGGAATATTCATCATTATACATAGTCTTTAAAACTTCTTACTTCTCATCTCTGTTAATATAATTAACTCTTCAATCATTACATATACCCTCACAAAAGCTCTATTTAAAATTAAATGTACCACTTCTGCTTATGTAAAATTTCTATGGGCAATGTCAAGTAATATAAGGGGAAAGTGTAATTATCCCTTGGATACAGTTCCTTTCGACCTTGACAGTTTTCTTTGAAGGTTACCTTTGCTGTTACTATTATTAAAGCACACGCAATACATCTCAAAGTTATTTAACCTAAGAAAAGTCTAATTAAAGCCCCTATTCCAAGGGTTACAGCAATTTCAACAATTAAAGGAAATGTAAAAACGAGCATCCAGACACTGAGTTAAAACCGCTCAAAACAAGCAAAGGTAGCAGTAAGCTTTCTTTTAATTGTGATATTTATATCTGAATAATAAGTAGCATCTTTCAATTTATTTTTTATTATATTTAAATTTTAGTGCCGTGATAGCTCAGTGTCCGCTTTTTTAATTGAATGTACTCGAGGACCCTGAGTTCAATTCTAGATGCCCGTACTAATACAATTGTTAATTACAATTTCATCGGCGGTGAAGAAATATAATATCGTGAGAAAAATAGCCATAAACAATCCACAATAGGGTCTAAAACTCTCTATACAGGAGAGGGCTTTGCCCAGCAGTGGAAACTAATAGGCCGCTACTTTACTTCTTTTTATATTTCAAAACCCCTTTTGTGGTTTATACAACACGGAAAATATTGCGACGCGTAATATTCAGCTATCAGAGAAATAGGTACTGCATTTATTGTTTTATGGCATAATATTTAATAACAAAATATAAATTAATAGATCCTTACTTACCCTGAAGAGTGCGATCTCGATTCGGTTAGCACCGCTAATACTAAGACACCCAATATTGCAAGTACTGTTTTATTCATTTTCTTCTCCACTGACTGCAACAAATTAATACGTTATTAATAAATAAAATTTTAGATGTCTGCCATTGCATGCTTTTATTATTTTTATATTATTCTTAGTTTTATTTCTTAAACACTTGGCCCTTACCTAATAAATAAATGTTAGTAAGGATATAATATAAAACTCCTACGTATATATTAAAAACTTACCTAAATTAAACTCGGTCTCAAACAAATCAAAACGCGACAACCGCCTTGTAGCGAATGGATGATTTGAACTGACCAAGTTTTATAGATCTCAAATATATAAACTTACATAACTTGTTTGGGGTGAGATATTATTAAGGTCGTTCGATAAGGCCGTGCTTTTAAACAAATACAAAAGGAGTATACTTTAGTACACAACAACAATTTTGACGACAGTGTGACGTGATAGATCCGTGCCAACTATGATACATATTGAAAACAAGACATTTATAATTTATTACAAGTGAACATAGACATTTGAACATAGAATATACATATAATTAAATTAACCGACTACCCAATTGGCGTAGTGGATAGTGACCCTTTCTGTTGCGCCAGAGGGTGTCGCTTCGATTCCCACTACTGAAAAAATATTATGTATATTTATCGGTTACCTAGTATACATAGTACAAGCTTTGCTTAGTTTGGGACTAGATAATATTTTATTTTATGGTATTGGATACTTCATTTTGTCCCTTCAAGTTCCAATATCCCTTTAATTCTGAATTCTAGGAGTACCTCATATAACAATTAACATAATATTTTTACATCTAAACTATTATCATTCTATTACTTAGAATACACACAGAAATTTACTAAAAACGTACCGATATTAATAAACTAGCTGCTGCCCGCGACTACGTCTGCGTAAAAGAGGCTGGAGGCGTAACATTCAGACAGAAAGACATATATACATAAACATATGTATATATATTATAGTCTATGTCTTATTCTGGTGTATAAGATATATTATTTGACTAAGATATATTTTTGATGACTCCGTGGCGCAGTTGCCAAGGTATTGGCTTCGGCGCCGGGGGTCGTGGGTTCGATTCCCACACGGGACAACTATTTGTGTGACCCACAGATAGTTGTTTCGCATCTGGGTGTTTGTCCGCGTGAAATTTATGTTTGTAAAACGTCCTTTACAACACAGGATAATATTATCCTAAAGTAAGGGCAGTGTTTTTAAAACAAGAATTAAAAAAAAAAAAAGAATTATTGTAAAGTTTCATTAGAATCTATTAAGTAGTATTTGCGTGAAAGAGTAAAAAATATCCATCCAATTAGACAAACTTTTGCCTTTATAATGTATATAATATTAGTAAGGATACTGCATTACTTGTACAATAATACAAAGAAAGGCGAAAGCTGTACGGCGGTTTACTCAATTCTCTACGCCTTATCTGGATTATTCGATAAACGTTTTGCCGTCAGCAAGAAAACAAGCTCCTTACACAAATAGAAGGGATTTTAATATTCTTAAGTAGTGATGATACTGGCCCGCTTTCTATAAAGGACTTGCAAAGTAATCCGTGGAAGGCGCGGGGGCTATCTCGCAAATCTGCTTCGGTCATCGCAACCTTTTCAAATAAACAGATTTCGGAAAGTACAGGAAAACGTTTATTTTTTTTTCAGCGGAGCTACAAAATGGGAGTGATCATTTAGTTTTAATCCGGTTTAGCGGTAATAAATACACACGTTAAAAGAGGAAGATACATAAAAAATTTACATATCAAGTTATACTGTTAAAATATGTTAATTTATATTTAATTTACGTATCAAAATTATATGAATATGGATAGATATGAATAGAATACTGCTAAAACTATAAAAACCATAAATCTAGCTATAACGATTCATCATTAATACTTTAATCTTGATAACTAAGAATAGTAGAACTATTTAAAAAACCTCCGCATCATTTTGACACTGCTTCTTGACTTTGAAACATGCCTAATTATTTCTTGACTACAAGTCATTCTGTCCCGTGACCATGAACGTTGTAAACTATTGGAAACACGAGAAATTTAAAATCAAAATAAAAAGCGATAAAGCTACGTAGCTGCTTCCGTAGCATAAATGGGCAGACTCGTCCGCGAAATTACCATGGCCTTCCAGAAGACCGACGTAAGAAAAAAAATTACGCCTTAAACTATTACGTCTCTCCTAGTAAGTTAGGTACCCAATTCTTTGAAAGTAGGTAAAGCATTTGGCACCTTTTGAGCTGTAGATTTCCATGGGCGCCGGTAAATGACCTATTCGGGAGACATAATCCAGTAGGTTAAAAAATATTCCCATGTAGGACGAGAAATTTTTAACATTGCGCTTTTGAATCGTCTGTTTTCGTTTCTCCTATATCACAGTAAAAAATGTGCGTATTACATTATATAATAAGGAATGTAGTAGTACAGTTTACAGTCCGAAAAAGTGTATCAATCATAAAGAAAAACTCCACGCCATGTATAGTAATTAAATTAACTAAATAAAATTTAAATTGCATTTAAGGAAGAAAATTCCTCACATAATTAACCCTAAAGGATAGGTGGAGATGACTGGTGCCGTTTACTTATTATCAAATCATTAAGGCACAAACAACACAAGTCGTGACTTAATCGCCCTAAACTTAGTATGAAAATACGAAGAGAGGAAGTAAGAATGCAAATCTGACATAACAGTTACTAAATTACAAAATAAGCTTTCTTAAACAAATGGAAACAAAAAACAGTGTCGTCAGACTTTGTTGCCTGAACTAGGCTATTTACAATTTATTGGATTTGCCTTCAATGAACGCTCAATGTATATTACTTGCGAGTGAAATTACGGACCGGTTTAAACTTCCCGATGGAGTGGAGTTCGAAAATGGCATTATAAATTTAGCAGTTTACAATCACAGCGCTACTTGGCGGAGGCAAAAAACCTCCGCGGGAAACTCGTTCTAACTTTTCCTATTTTTCTGCGTTAATTTCACCTGAACCCATTACACTTTGCAACAATTCTTAGTGCGAACGTTTCTATTAGGTTGTTAAAATTGTATTTTAAATGGGTTTTTTGAAGTTAAGAAGGGGTGGTTTTTGTAGCAGGGAACTTATATTAGAGTTTTAATAGGCACCTACTCGTTCCCTAAAAAGGACTAAAAAGTCATTTATATTACATAAAAACAAGTTATAAACACTTTGAAAATATGCCAATACATTTCTGCACCCAAGGGCAAACTTAACATTAGATCAGTCTTCTTTAATTTCATCGTATCAATTGGGCGTATAGTTGTCATTCACCACGCAAACTTGTAGTTAAATATGCTTGACGCAACGGTAACGCAAAATTGTTACCGAAGTTGAGCAATGAAATGTTAAGGATGAATAAGTTAATTGGCCCCTCGAGCGTATCGGCGGGGCCTCCTGTGGCACAGAGGAATGCATTTAAATTGGATTTTAAGAGTAGAAATCACCGGCGAGCGCCCCGCCTCTATAGCCTTGTTAGAGTCAATCTCAAAGTTTACGTAAACGAATAAAGCTTCCCCGTGGAACTGGATTTATTGGTATCAATTCGACTGTACCTTTCTAGATCTTACTATTCATCTGCATCACAATATATTCTCAATTCAACTCCTAATTAATTATGCAAAGCTTTACGTAAGTTTATAAACGCGCTCCTTTTCGCACTCACTGCAATGTAAAAGTTTACCTTTCTTTCCTCTGTCCTCTATTAACAATAGTCGAGGGTAAGATGTCTGGTAATGACTCTTGTCCTGCAAATGAACAAATTAATACCCCGGGCCCGGCTACCTCACTCACCAGACGAAACTAAAAGTGTAACACTACTACTTAACGTCGACCTTTGTTTCTATCGCTATAAAATAAATAGTTTTGCCAATGAGTGACTGTCTGTTATATTCTGCGTCTTGATTTTTATATAAACATCAGACACTGATAAAACATTTTATTCATCCCACAGTATTTTTCCAGTAGTGGAGGTTGAACCCACACCCTCTAGAGTAAGAGATTCACTATCCACTACGCCAGTAGTGGATATTGACTCTTGGGTCATCCAAGAAGTTTCCCATTTTGTCCAACTTCTTACGTACTCGTACAAATACCACTGTCTCATTTTTTACATAGTGCATCATGAAAAGGCTCTTAACGTTGGAGACGAAATAAGTTGGGCAAAAAATCGATATAGTCAGCTATCTTTGTAAAGATTAATTAATGGAGATATTGATTCCATAAAGACATTGATTAATGTATATAAAAAGTCATGATATATGCAAGTCAGTTCAGCGGTTTGCGGCTTGTATACCACACAAACCAACCAAACTTTCTTCAAGTTACTAGGTTGGTAAGTTTCCAAGTTTTCGTCTATTAATATTTCATCAACATACCCAACACCTTTTGATGCGTACTTTGGTGTACCTACTGAGTTAAATATTAGTATTATACAGAATATTCTAGTAAAATCTGTAAGTATAATTTAATAACTAACTGGATTGGATTGCGGCATGTAAGCCGCAGGGATCAATCCAAACAATAATAATAATAATAAAATATCTTTATTCACATAGACGCTTGCGCGTTCTTATGAAACGTCGAAATTTTAAAAGGAAATTAATTAATATGTTCGTAAGTTACCACCGGTTCGGAAAGCAGTTTCTGTTGAGAAGAAACCGGCAAGAAACTCAATAGTTGCTCTTTTTTTAAAAGGTTTGTTTACAATATAATGTTACAGGTATAAAAGTCTTGTTTTAGCATACGAGAGTATCAACAGTATTAACCCCACACATTGGCGTCGTCAAGATATTCAGCAATAGTATAGTATGCTTTAGCCATAAGTTTACTTTTAACTTTTCGTTTAAATTCATCATGTGGCAGACTTAATATCGACTGTGGAATTTAATTATACATGCGCACACTTTGCCCCATGAACGACTTGTTTACTTTTTGTACACGAAACAATGGCGTAGTTAGTTTGTCCTTTTTTCTAGTATTTAGTTTATG